AATAATTTTAAGAGACTAAGAAATAAAATTCTAATCTTTACATCCTAATAAATAGAAAGAAGATTTACATAACAAAAATAGATTATACAGTACTCAGTTTCTAAATTCTATCATTTTGAAGAACAATTTTCATGAAATAAGAAGCTGCTATCGTAAAAGCTACAACGATCGGGACGTAAACAGATAAGTTGAATAGAAGATTTGAAATGCACCTATGCCCCAATTTGAACCAGACAATCCTTTGAAAGAATTTTCGAACGAAAGGCATTTCACATGAATTTCAGAAGCGTTTTCAGCTTATATTGCTATTCTTTTAACTTTTAAATCCTTGTTAAAAGTCGAAAACTTTTATACGGTATTAAAGAACATTATCATAAATATGAATTTTTAAATTTGAGTTTTTTTAGGCGCTACCATAAACTAAAAAGATTTTAACTCAACATGACAAAGATCAGTAAGTTAAAAAGAATAATAATTTTGTAATAAAGAATAAATTTATAGCTTAAATATATAAATTATAAAAATTAATACAATGAGCTTGGCGATATACAAATATATATGTGTATATAACATTTAAGTTAATGTCTACCCGTGACCACGGTTTCTGCTAAGCATTGGAACTTAATATAAAAATATAAAATAAATATAATAATTAAAAACTGGAATTCAGTGGTGGCCTAGTGGTCAGTGCCAATGTGATTTTTCCGAGTCATATGTACTTTCTCAGAGTATTTAGACACCACTGACAGACGGTGAAGGAAAAACATCGTCAGGAAACCGGCACTTATAATTTCACAATTATAAGTTTGAAATCACCAACCCGTCTTGAGCAAGCGTGGTGATTAATGATCAAACCTTCTACATGAGAGAAAGAGGCCTTTGATCAGCAGTGGGCTCTGATAGGCTGATGACGAACGAAATAATTCCTTAAATTAGATTTATACTTTATGATTTCGTTATAACTAAAGGTATTGCATAATTATTTGTTTGTAAGCTGAATATGAAGATACAACAGTAAGTTATTAAATTCTATAATATTATCGAGAAAAATAAATAATAAGCGAAATGTTATATATAGGATGAAAACACAATCAGTCCATGTTTTTTCCTTTCAAACGAGTATTCAATTACATTTAATTTCGCTTTCCATGTAAATACAGAAGCATTTTTAAAGCAAGAGTTGTATTCAATGTATGTCTCATTCACTAATACTTTCTCGATTAAACCATCCACGGCACCGCGACTGATGAGACTTGCTATATATTTCTCTAAAACATTTTAAAAATCGTGTCACAATAAGAAATCCTTCACAAAATATTTAAAACACGTTACAACATTTTACTCGATATCACGTCCAATTTTATAGCATAAATGACATATAACTCGACATTCAATTCAAATTATTAGTAGTAGTAGGTAGATACTACCTTTTCTCCAAAAAGAAAAAAAACTACAAACCATAATAATTTCCATTACTCTTTCTTTAAGAACTAGTAATTTGTCCAATCCTATTTTATTTTACATTACCTAGCACATAATATAACCAGTTATATTTAAATCAAAGTACCTATTAATAAATTGATTTTTTTTAAGATAATATTTGAAAACAGATAAAAATAATATTACAAGCCGCTTTTCAAGTAGTGATCAGTAATTCCACAAACAGCTTAATTTCAACTACTGTTAAAAAAAATTGCAAATCCATGGTTAGGTAAAACTATGGTACGACCTACGCGTTAGAAACACAACAAGCATATTAAAAAATTCTATCAAAGCTTGTATTCAGTCTGGCCGATTTTGTGTTGGCCTTTTTTTAAGTGATGGCATCTGTCTATCATGAATGAACTGTGGGTTTACACAAAAGAGCAATACGATAACGACATTCAACTGCGCAACGGTCAGATCACAAATAGAAAGATAAAATATTCCTTATTCAGGTAATTTTGCTTTAGAAAAAGAATATTAAATTCTTGCCTATGCTCACTACGGTTCTGTAACGAATTTTTTTCTATGTTTCTTTTACAGTCAAAAGAGTAAAAACAATATTGCAAAATTAATTCAGAAGTAGGTTGACTACAGAAAAAGATAAAGGCTAAAGTTAAAGGATATAAAGAAATTATTTGTTCTTTATCCGTCATCTCTTGTTTTATAATAAGTATATATATGACCATGGATTATTATAGGGAGTAATAAATAGATGTTTCTTAAATCAAAATATTGGATATTATTGACGGCTGCTCAAGTAGTTTATTCAAATAAAGGTTAACAAAAGTTTAAAATATAACATACTTTTGCTATTTCTGCTATTCGGGAGCTCTCAAAATATTATTTAAAGAAACATCTATGCGACTTAACTCCAATGATGTTAGATATATGATTATTATGATAACGATTTTTTTTTAAATATGTACTTATATGAAACAGTAGGTATACAAAGTAATTCAGATTTTATTTAAAACAAGGTTTAACCCATGACGTGAAGGGGTGAAACTGAACTTCGGAATTGAGTTCAGAGAGGAATGAATATTGTGTGCTTAAAAAAATACATCTACCCTCTGTTTTACGTTGTTTAAAAAAACAACTGTTATTAAACAACAACTGCACGACCCGCGGGAACTGCATGAAATTTAGAGATAAAGTATGATATTTTTTAAGTGGCAATCATATGCCGTATTGTCTGTTCCTAAATGTCAACGGCTTGATAAACAAATGAACTAAGTACATTCTCCTTAAACTAAACTCCCTTCTTTAATATTATAATGTGATGACAAAAAATCCGATAACATCAAAAACATATTTCTTCTTTTGGCCGGAAATTATGAAAAACTATGAATTTCAGTAATTCATTTTTAATTATTTGTGTGCAGTACATATGATTAAAAATGAATAAACGTTGTGATGATTCATTTATTATGTGAAACTTAAATTTTCTGTTGTAAAAACTTGCGGATGTCTAAAAACCTGCAACAGAGCCATCTAGTAAATGACGAGTTACTATATGGCACTGTTACAGAAGCAAACGTGCTTTTAACTTATCTAAAAAAAAACTTTGTTCATGATAGTTTCTAAACAATTTGATAGATGTCACTTTTGTCAAAATGGAAAGACATTTTAACTTTATGTCCACTAAACGAAAATGAAGTTGCCATGTATATATTTTTTTAATATAATATTTGAGAGATGTGATGATGCATTTATTATGTGAAACTTAAATTTTCTGTTGTAAAAACATGCGGATGTCTAAAAAACTTGCAACAATACCATCTAGTAACTGACGAGTTACTATATGGCACTGCTACAGAAGGAAACGTGCTTTTAAGTTATCTAAAAAAAAACTTTGTTCATGAAAGTTTCTAAACAATTTTATAGATGTCACTTTTGTCAAAATTTAAATACATTTTAACTATGTCCACTAAACGAATATGAAGTTGCCATGTATATATTTTTTTAATATAATATTTGAGAGATGTGATGATGCATTTATTATGTGAAACTTAAATTTTCTGTTGTAAAAACATGCGGATGTCTAAAAAACTTGCAACAATACCATCTAGTAACTGACGAGTTACTATATGGCACTGCTACAGAAGGAAACGTGCTTTTAAGTTATCTAAAAAAAAACTTTGTTCATGAAAGTTTCTAAACAATTTTATAGATGTCACTTTTGTCAAAATTTAAATACATTTTAACTATGTCCACTAAACGAATATGAAGTTGCCATGTATATATTTTTTTAATATAATATTTGAGAGATGTGATGATGCATTTATTATGTGAAACTTAAATTTTCTGTTGTAAAAACATGCGGATGTCTAAAAAACTTGCAACAATACCATCTAGTAACTGACGAGTTACTATATGGCACTGCTACAGAAGGAAACGTGCTTTTAAGTTATCTAAAAAAAACTTTGTTCATGAAAGTTTCTAAACAATTTTATAGATGTCACTTTTGTCAAAATTTAAAGACATTTTAACTATGTCCACTAAACCAATATGAAGTTGCCATGTATATATTTTTTTGAATATAATATTTGAAAGTTCTGGCATAATTATGCGGCATGCGAACTTCTAACGTCAAAATTAGTAATAAGTCAGTAATTAAAAAAAAAAATCTGAATATTCCAGGGCTACTCACGAGTAAAATATAAAAGACAGTGAAAAACAAATGTTGCTATGGAGTGAAAATAAAATGGGAATAATTTTTCTGATGGCAGATGTAACCATTTTTTAAAATTTGAATCAATATTTAATTAATTTCCTCGTATCACGTTCGTAAGACTGCCGAATATTTTTTATTTTGCAGCTACTATGAATTCGCTTTTATAACACCCAAATTAAAATTATTATAAGTAACTTTAAATATTACATCACTATTTATAATTTTATTTACTCTTAGAAAATATTTCATACTTTGGAATGGTAACATTCTTGATACTATTAAAATATTGATTTTTCTTTTAAAATGCTTCTCTAAAGCTTATATTTAATATCTACTGAAAAATAATGTAAATTAATAAGAAAACTATATAACTGTCAACTGTTTTTACAAAGCTCGTAAGTACTGTCAAAATAAAGCAAAATTGTAATTTTCTAAATATATTTTTAATGTTTTATGGGTGTTTTAGAATAGGTATTTGTTATATATAATAAAAAATAGATTAACTCATTCCCTTTATTTACTTAAAATTAAAAACCATTATTTTCTCCTATTTTTTTAAGGTTCCAAAAATAGATTCTCAAAATTATTTAAATTTTTTCAAAAACCAAAATTTGTGCAGGATTACTTTAGCAACATGAAGTAAGATTGTTAAAAGGCAATATTATGTCAGTGTTGTCACTGTCACATTGTGGTCTATGTTGTGACCTGTGACTGTTATGATCCTAACGATAAGTATTTTAAACTACATATGTTGTTAACACTAGGTGATCAAAGTGCAATTAGATAAGAGGTTTAGAAGTTTTTGCTCTTCACATTTTTTTACATTTATATACAAATAAAAATGTCGTCGGGATTTGGAAAATTTGGACCATTAGTTGGGGCAATCGACGAGGGCACCTCAAGTGCGCGTTTTATTATTTTTAAAGCTAATTCTTGTGAAGTGGTGGCTTTATACCAAAAGGAGCTAGAACAATATTTTCCACAGGAAGGATGGGTTGAACAGGATCCCAATGCTATTCTAGAAGTTGTTACCATATGTATTACAAAAGCTGTAGAGCAATTAATATCGTTAGGCGGGAAACCCCAGGTAATTTTATTTTCTACAATAAATTATGAGATTCATAATTCATGAATGGAAATTTACAACATTAGATTTAATATTATAAACATATTATTTTTTTTTTAACTAAAATCTACAACAAATTTTGCATGAATTTCAGAATTTTCTACAAAACTTCAAATATTTTACTAGCAAAATATTTAATAATGAACTCTAGTTGATTTTAAACTTAAAATATTTTTCTTAACTGGATGTATGCCAATGTTTTTGGTTTCAATGACTAATGTGTCATTGAAAATGAGTAAATAAGAAAAGAAGTCAACATGAACTTAAATTTTTAGATAAAAATATCTCGTATTACACATACTTATTTAAAGACAAATATCTTCACAACAATTATTATGTATATTTTGAATTCCTATTCTAAAGTACTTGGACTTTAGTGTAAAATATTCTTATATTTAAAAAGGTTATATCATTGACACAGTCTTGTATGAAGTGAGCCTCTACTAATGTTTTATATAATAAGTTATATCAACTTTTGGACTGTTTTTATAGATAAGATCTTTTTTTAAGTTCCTTAAACAATTATGGTCATATCAAGGTACTGAATTGTATTACGGCTGCAATAAAGATTAAGTAACATTCACAAGGTCGAGTTATGATATTATAAAAAAAATTACAACTTTTATGTTTATTACATTGATAATAATTTTATGTTTATACTGCAATTCACTGAGTTTCATATACAAGTAGTCTTAAAATTACATATAATTTGTAAATGCTTTTGAGTAAATTTATACTTAGGAAAATAAGAAGTTTATATAATAACACCAGGTTAATATTTATAAAATTGGTCAAAAAGTTATGAGACACAATTTTTATTTTTATGAATTAATTTCAAATTCTTATTTCATTGTATTATATATACAAATTTAGTTACAAGGCATAAATCAGATAATGATATGTATCCCATCAATAATAATATATTAATTATACATCAATTATCCATAATCTTTGTATATACATGTCCAGTTTTATTTTATTATCTTCTTATGACATTGTGCACATGAATGTTAATTAGCTTTATTCAACTCAAAATTATGATTACAGTGTTATTAATAATAATATATATTTTTTTCACAAATACAAAGATTTTATTTATTAATGTATAATTCAATGCAGTGTTATTAATATTTTTTTATCACTTTTTTTCCATAAATTTCTCTTGTTAAAGGACATAATAGCTGTTGGTGTTACAAATCAACGGGAGACTACAATTGTGTGGGATAAATATACTGGAAGGCCGTTACACAATGCCATAGTGTGGCTTGATATGAGAACTTCATCTACCATAGAAAAGCTTCTTGACACAGTGCCTAATAAGACTAGGAATAAGAATTATTTAAAGGTAAAATATTATTAACTATTATTATCTATTTTAGCATTTGTTTGAATAACTTATGACAAAATATAGAAGTATTATAAACACCTTAAATTGTAAACCAAAAAATATATGTCACATATGGTTATCCAGAAATTGTTGTAACAGTTTTATTGAAAAAAATAAATATATTTGAAAACAGCTTCAAAATATATGAAATAAAATAAAATTCAAAACATTATGAACTACAATGCTTTTGTCAATTCTTCATGATTTTATATTAATCTCTTCTATGTGTATTGTCCTTCAAGTTCATTGACATTCAGATCCTTGAAAATATGACAATTAGGAAGGTAGAATCGAAAATTTCTTAAACCATAGTAATTTACTATAATCTGGTCTGCCGGTAAATCAACCAACCCATATTGAGTTTAATGTTCATTTTAATGACAATTTTACTCAGTGAAAAAATCTTTACTATGAATTCTGTGGCACTTATAGAATAAAACTGATAAAAGCAAAAAATTATGACAAATTAATGCTTTAAATTTTAAGAGCAGAATTAAATGAATGTAGATTGTGGGAAATTAAATGAATAGTCTTAATATCAGACTGAAAAAAAATTTAGTTTCGTTAATTAGTCTTAATTTTATTTCTACCCTATTATAATAACAAAGGTAGACGCACCTTCAAATAATTTAAGTTTGGCCGAGATCCTATTCACTAGGTATACATTAAAAACATTTTGTTGCCAAATGTAGCTTTAATCCGAATCGTTCAGATTAAATAAAGAAAAAACATTATTTTTAGCTATAATAGCTTATTATTTTTCATCTGTCAAATCTTTTCTAACATTCTTTTTATATTCAATATGTTTGTTTTTTGTCACATTGATGCCATTAAGTTTTGGTGACATAAGAAAACAATTAATTAGTAAGACTGGGTAACAGAAAAATGTTCAACACCTGCACAAGTGCAATACACTTCAAAGTTATCTGATCTTTTAATATAATTAACCTTTTTTTATATTATCTTCGTCTTCAATTTTGTAAGTATAATGAAAAAGGAATATTTATAATTTGATATCAGTACTTATTTGAATTATATTTGCCACATACATTTTATAAATTGTGGATTTTCATTTAACTTAAATATTTTTCAAATACAAAAAGTTTAAGATTAATACAAGGCTGCAAAATTGTAAGCCCTGTCCTAGTCACAACAAAGCGTTTCTCGTTTCTTATTCAAAAACCTACGTTAATACTCAATAAAAAATTACAAGACGTGACAATGGTAACTTGGGCTAAGCATACTGTTTGCGCTAACATCATTTAAGCTGTTTTTTGAATAATGTTTCCTTTTAATTTAAGAGGAATCATATAGAAATCTTGCAAGTAAACGTTTTAGTCTTGTTTTCATAGATACAACCATATCTAGTTCCTAGTACGTCATACTTATTATATTATTCTATGTTCCATCTTATGACAGCCGTTGTGTGGTCTCCCATTGTCACCGTACTTCAGTGCCGTCAAGTTGAGATGGCTAAGCGACAATGTCGATGTAGTGAAACAAGCTATGAAAAAAGGGACATGCTATTTTGGTACTGTTGATTCATGGATTATATGGAATTTAACAGGTAAATGAAATAAAAAATAATGTAAATTATGATGACACTTCTGTAAAGGATTTTGACATTTATTTACTGTTCATAACTCAATAATAAAATTTTATATGCCTATTATTCAAAAGTACGGGTGATGTCATCAAATAGTAGTTGGAAAATTTACACGTTTATTTGACCTTGTGTTGTTATTATTGAAATAATTCATTAATATTTTTCAAGGCGGTCCAAACGGCGGCAAGCACGTCACCGATGTGTCGAATGCCTCGCGAACAATGCTCATGAATATAGAAAATTTGAAATGGGATCCTTTGTTGATTAAATTCTTTGAAGTACCAAAATCTGTCTTGCCAGAAATCAAATCTAGTTCTGAGGTAAGTAAAGTTTTTTGTTTACATTTATCATTAACTATATGTTTCATTTTATATTCGTGCGAATAAACATTAGTTCATATTTGTATAAGTTATATCTTATACAAAAAAAAAAAATTTATTATGGTACTTGTCGTGTGAACTCTTTTGTATAAAATGATTACTGTGCAAGAAGAAAAGTGTCATATTTCCTTTTTTCCTGACATACAGACTATCGGTAGAGCTAAATGGGCTGTAAGAAAGAAAGTAGGAAAATTATCGAAGTTTCAAAATACATATTTGAATCTGTCTTTTTAAAACAGTATGCATCACACACTATATTTAATCTTTTGTAGATATACGGCTGTGTGGCAGATGGTCCTCTCAAAGGCGTACCTATATCTGGTTGTTTGGGGGACCAGCAAGCAGCTCTAGTGGGACAGATGTGTCTGCAGAAAGGTCAGGCGAAGGCTACATACGGTACTGGCTGCTTTGTCCTGTACAATACGGGAGATATTCGCGTGAACTCGAGCAGGGGGTTGCTCACAACCGTCGCCTACCAACTGGGCAGTCATAATCCACCTTGCTATGCGCTAGAGGGCTCTGTAAGTATTGGTCGGTATATGGTTTGGGATCAGACAAAGTAATACACTTCTTCAGAACATATACAATTTTATAAATATGTACCCAGAAAATTTAGATTCTATTGCTATCTGCAATTTTTGTTTGATTTGAACATAATGCGAATGCTATGCTATGCGAAATATACAAATTATTATTGAACGTCTTTATCTTATTTTTCATTAATCTTATATTAATTTAATTAATGTTTGTTAAATATCAAATATTTTTTGCTTTACAGGTAGCTGTTGCTGGGGCGGCTTTAGGTTGGCTAAAAGACAACATAGGCCTGATAGAGAATGTTAAGAAATCACAAGAAATTGCTGAGAAAGCCACAGATAACGGCAGCGTCGTTTTTGTGCCCGCCTTTAGTGGGTTATACGCCCCATATTGGAGACAAGATGCTAGAGGGTACCCTTTATTTTTTATGTCAAAGAATTATATTACAAATACATATGTAATATATCATGCTATGTGGTACATAAATTAAATTTAGAGTAATTTTTTTTTTAACTTTTCACCATAAATCGAATTTTGTGACAATTATTTATATAATTGTATGTAATATTTCAGCGTTATCTGTGGTATAACAGAAGATACAAACTCAAATCACATTGTCAAAGCTTCATTAGAAGCGGTTTGTTTCCAAGTACGCGACATATTGGACGCTATGAACGAAGACTGCGGCATTCCCCTGCAAGTGTTGAAGGTATTTATAGTATAGCAGTATAGAACTAAGGAAGTAATTATAAATTATGATTAAATCTAACTATTTACGAATATCTACTGAACTGATAATACTGTATGTGATTTGATTACGCATTTATTTTTGATTGTGATTGATTATATCACTGCATTCCAAAAGGAAGCCAACGAAAAGAGATAAATTTTGTAAATACTTAAAATTTTTAAGTACTTAATCACTTTGAAAATGATTTTATAATTGAACACTTCAACGAAATAGTAATTTATTGTTGATGATTAGCAGTGTAAAAAGTGTAGCATAATTTTATAGTTCGCAACTCAGCATTGAAAATAATATCCCAACATTTCAAATGTTGCTCGCTTTTATTTATCGTACCAGGAAAGATTTGAAATAAAACGCTATAAGTGCTATTCAGTGAATTTTGATATAAAGTTCCATTTAAATACACTTATTTTAAAAAATTCAAAATTACTTTTTTTTCCTTATTTATCTTCATTTAACTCCTATTCAAATTCACTCAATAATACTACCTACTTAAAAAAGAAATATTTAAGAAAGATGTCACATAGAAACTAGATTGTTGGTAGATAAGTCGGAAGCTAATTTCGGTAGTGCATATAATGGTAATAAAAGCAAGAGTCTTTTGGGAAAATTTAACATGATAAATGATGAAATAATATATCTATAGATTTAAAGTTATATGGAAAATTATCTAAGTGGACTTAAAATTCACACCAAAAAAGTTTTATGAGTAAACTTGTTGAAACGGCCAGATTGTATTGTGATCCCATAAAATTATTGAAAATCACTATTGTCTTTGGAACAGTTGTTTGAAAAGGCAGACCAAGCACGAAATAAGCATTCTCCGTTACCTATATCGGGGAAATCATCGTATAAAATTTATAACGAGGCATTATAATCTTGATGTTTAAGATTGTACATATATAATAATTATATTCCGATCCATTACTAAGCAATTTTAGGCAAACAAAAAAGTCATCAGATCAAGATTATTTTGTACAAAATCAATAAATAGGCTCCTCCTACCTGATAAACTAATCATAGAATTTGATATATCAGAGGCATTAAGTGAAGAATTAATAAATTAGTCATTATTATTATATTTGCTTGAGCCTTCGCCTGATGCGTTAATTATGTCACTATTAAATAGACACTTAAAAAATAAATATATGTTATAACTACTTAAATAATAACATTATGATAATGTTTTCAGTTTTGTTAAAATATTTGCTTTTTAATTCACTAAAATATTTATTTAGTCAAGAACAAAACTAAAAAAGTCTTGGTCACCTAAATTTTTAAAAACGTCCTAGGTGCGTGTCTGAAAAACCTATGATTTTTGCGTAGTTTTTTATTACAAAAAAAAAAATACCATCTTAATATTACAAAAAAATGTGAATAGAGGGAAAATAAAGTTTGGAAAGGCCCAGCTTTAGTGGTATATGATTTTGAAAAAGTGTATAGGTGTTTAATTCTTGGTTTACTTAGTGAAATAGTGGTAAAGCAGATAAAAATCTATAAAAATTTGAAGATCTTTTTAAATATTTTTTTAATTACTTCAATGGCATAAAATATCTGTGGACTTGTCATTTTATGTTTAATTTGCCTTTAATGGTGAAAGGTGATGAAGTTGTTGGTTATTGATCTAAGTGTCCTCATATGGCGTACGTATTGAATTTTTATTAGGTTTTTTCTCATGATTTTTAAATTTTTCTCACTAATTGAAATTTGTGAGATATTATTTACGTAAACTTATGAAATATTTCTCGTAACTTTACATAACATATTGCTTATTTTACACTTTATTTACAAAAATCTAAATATTTTTCTTTATTTGACATTTCTAAATGTAATTTTAGTATCGCTAATAATAGAAATAGTTTATGAATATGACTTCATTTCATTACAGACGATTTTTCATGACATATATTTTTAAAGTAATTTTGTTTCCGTTGAGATTCATAATCATTTTTATTAAAGATAGTTAATCTCATAGTTTAGTGCGATTTGTTTAGAAAATTGTTAATGGGTTAACATCTTATTTGCTCTCGGGTTAAGAATCTTTTGTTGCCTTGGCTTGTATTTGTTGCCTTTGAGGTATTTAGTAGCTTGAACAAGGTGATAATAAACAGTTTTATTAGTATTTAAAATACACGTCTTTAAGGAGATTTATAGATAGTAATCTATTGATGACTAACATAGCTTGTTCTAACACCCCGGTACTTGTTAAACCCCTCTTTGTTTTATAATTAGTATTCGCCGCCAAAGCCAAAACAGAAACCGAGGACAGTGTCAACCATAACGGCGGGTTCGTCGCGTGGTTCAGGACTAACGGATAATATAGATTGCCATCTAAATTGGCAATGCAATTTCTATTGCCAGTTCGGCATCAATTGCCAAAAATATATAGGTTGGAGTTGTCAGATGACATACAACTGTAGCGTAAACTGCGGTTGGTTTGTCCACTGCAAACAGAGATTGCAAGCAACTGGCAATGTACCCTCAACAGAAAACGAAATGCCACCGGCTAAGACATCGAACGATAAAGCAAGCAAAGAAGCAGATGATTCAGATTCTGCTACTACGGCATCTACTAATTTACCTTCGTCTGCCGCAGTAGCTGTTCCATCTCCAGCTATAACATCGAATGATAAAGTCTTAGATACTTCAGCCCACAAGACAACGTTCCCAGCTAGTCCAGATTCAACAGTCTCAACTACTTCAGCTGCTAAACCAGTCTGCAACATACTATAAGGGTCACCAGATATTAAAAACTCGTATTCTGCTCGTTATGTTCTCATTTTGTTTATTTTTTGTTGCGTATGATCGCCTCTTCGCTTTGTCAATGAAGGAATGTCAAATAAATGTCTCTTTGTTTTTTAAATCTTTGCTGACTTGTCTTTGAGTAGAATCGTATGTTGGATTGATGACAAATATGCTAAGAATATGTTTTTAATTTTCTCAAATTTTTTGTACTTGCCTGATGTTTATTATTTATTTAATTTATATTATAAATAAGTAGTCTGGTCAACACTCGTTTTGTTTAAACATGGATGTTTGTTTCTTTACATATATAGGTCAATGTGTTTTTTCAGTCGATATTTCTCGTATGTAGAAATCTGCCTATTATTTCGTTTTACCGATAGATTTTTAGGCTTCCTCTGCTTGTACCAGTGTGATCTGTATTAAAAACCAAAAGGACTGAAATAAAATGCATCATAAATTTTAGTCTTTTTGGTAGAGACATCTTGCTTTAAATATATGTTATAATAAAACAAAAAAAAAAACAAGCGCATATCGCCTATTGTCTTTTTTGTTTTATTAATAAATCAGCCTAAAAATTAACTTTTGTATTGATTCCAAAAAGATTGCCAATATCTGATTTCGATGAATGCATGCGTTTGTGTTAATTTTATTATCCAAACGTATATTATATTGATTGATTTCTTCCTACAGGTTGATGGTGGTATGACTTCGAATGATCTTGTAATGCAGATGCAGGCTGATCTTATCGGCATAGAGGTTGTAAAGGCTGGTTTCACAGAGAGCACGGCTTTGGGGGCGGCAATGGTCGCGTTCTGGGCCGTAGAAAACAACAAGGCCGCAACCATAGCTATGACCAGTGGTGTCACTTACGTACCTCAGATAAGTGAAGATGAGAGGGACATGAGATACAAACAGTGGAAAATGGCCGTTGAAAGATCATTGGGTTGGAAACAGAATTGAACAGTTAAAATGTACTCTAAATAGGTTTATGTTCAGGCAAAAAAATATAAATATTAATATATTTAAAATCAATATATTATGTATGTATTAAGACGTAATTGTAAACTTTTAGTTATTAGCATTTTAGTATAAATAAATCTTGGCCTAGTTTTTTGACTGATTATAACACCATGGTACACGTATAAGTAGTATTGAAATAAAAATTTACGTCTTCGAAATTCTTGAAAGTATTATATAATTTTAATCGTCACAAATAACATGTATCCAAAAAAAACGTAATAATGATTATTGTGAGTTAAAATATTTTTTACTAATTTATTTGCCTTTTTACAAAAGTTCATTAACTGATATTTGAAATGAATATTAAAAAGAATAATTATGTATATGTAATGAAATTAATTAAAATGAGTATTCTGTTGATTCAAATGGAAATTATATGAGGTTTTTTTGTCACATTGAAGTTTATCTATGATAACAATATAAGCATATTATATATATGTCTAATTTTACAAATAACATATAACAGATGTACAAATGTTTTGTAGAGGGTATGGTTATGCTCAATGCAATGTAATGTGCGGTATAACTCATAAACTAATACAGAAGTATAATTTTTGAGTGTTACATGCATTAATTAAGTTGCATGAGTTTTTTTAATCTCATATAGAATAAATTATACTTATGTATTGAGAAATTTTAATTGGTTGCAAAGTACATTTGTACTCATTGTTAAATTTATAACAGAATCACTGTGGGTTAAGGATATAGTATTAGACATATAATATGTATATCAATTAGTATACATAATTATGAGGATTTTTGAACAACTTATTTATGTTAAAATTTTATATATTTTTTATTTACCTGAAATTTTCATTCAATTGTTTAATTTCTCAGGTCACGTGATGTAAAATTGTAATATGTTAGCAATTAGGAATTTTTGATAAATTGTTATTTGTTACTCGTTAAAGCTTTATATGTTTTTTTTTTGTAATATATAACATTTTTCTCTGTTTACCCTTTTCCACAATAATCTTCATATGAGTTTTGAGAAATATTATATAAAATCATGAATAAAACTTTCATTATATTTTGATTAGTTGAATCTGTTTGTTGTAACAAATTAATATCTGTTTAGTGTCTTTCTTTATGATACAGTAGCTACCTTACTTTATGTTACATATGTACATACATTATAATTAATAAATGTATATATATCATTGAACATATTAATGAGGATAATGTTCTAAAATAACGAATTTGTGACTGAAAAAATCGATGTTAAGGATGTCGATGGAAATTATTATAGATGCTGGTATCATGAAGATTATAGTGACCTGTAATTGTTATAAAAACCGTGCCAAAAGGCCTGTTAGTACTAAGTCTTATAAATATTAAAAGACAGCTATGAAATTGCCATTCCATTAATGATGTATCAATGCTGTTTATATAATAAACTATGGTGATGTCACCGAATAGTTTTATTTTTACAACCAAAATGCCCTGTGTTATTTCTTATTCATGAGAAACTCTGATATTTTATAACAAAAATAAAATAAATTATTTTTCACTTAGAATTTCCAATGAATCGGGTTAGACATTTTGTGTTATTGAAATTACAACAAAATTTGAACAAGAAAGTGGATGATAATTTCATTTAAAATTTATTTCCTTACCCATCGACATTTACTTGTTCGCAGACAACCTTATAATATAATTTTTGGGAGAATAATATGTAACTTTGTAAAAATAAACCGTAACACAGCGGCAATCAGAATCTGTTATATACAACATGTAACGTAATTAACGCACACCCTCAAACACCCCAATTAGAATATAATAATATAAACGCAATGCATACACCAAATTAGTTTATTAGTAAATTAGTTATCCCAATTTCGTACAAATAATATGGTCAGCTATTCACCAACACTCCGCTGCACAAGCACACACAGACAGACACAATGTACTCGCCGCGCCCGCGTCCCTCTCTCCGAGTGCCGTCCGACAATAATAAGTAGTAGGTAATAATAAGAACACGAAATAACATATGATTTATGATTTTTCTTTCCATCACACTTTTCAAGCTTTAGATTGTTGAATTTTCGTTTTAATGTGAAGCCAATATTTTATAATTACTGATTTGTTAAATTAAATTTGTAAATAAGAATTATTAAACAGCTGATAACGCGTGATTTGATTAGACACCACAATACTTACGACAAAGTTAAACACATTCGGCGTGTTTAAATGGTGTGAATCAAAATATTTACAATAATTTAAAACATTTTCAAAATGTCCATCGCCTTGTTCAATGCACTTCAATGACCGTTTTCGCAATTGTGGTTTTATTTTAGATAATACTGCAGTGTCACTTTTCACTTTTACAAAGGCAGTTATTATCTTATTTTTTAGTTCCTCGGCACTTGTTATCTCTGTGTTATAAACTATCAATTTAATTCACCCCCACAAAAAAAGTCGAGTGGCGTCAAATCAGCTGATCTAGGAGGTCAATGGACACGTGCGTTGGTATTTGATGTGTGCCGGCTGTCGCTGTGCGTGCGTAGATATTTGTAAAATATTAGGTTGGTGCGTATGAAATGTCGCATTCTCTTTACATGCGGACGTTTGTCTCCCTGTTTTCGTTATACTTTTGTCTTTGGCATTACCTTATTCATAGTCGTATTGTCCATTGCCAGAGACTCATTTCAGCAAAATAGGTTTTCTCGAAGGTCTTCTCTTTTGTTATTTCTTTGAGTTTATTGCCGATATGAATTCTACCGACATTCGCGTCTTTTCTTATATGAGTACAAACTTGGTAAAACTGCTGCAAAAGCTGCACGCAACATAAACCAAGCGTTTGGGGAGAATACGGTTAACGATCGGAAAGAGCAGCGTTGGTTCGAAAAATTTCGGACTGGCGATTTTTTCACTGCAAAATGAGCCGCGCGGAAGACCTAAAGAACGCGGCTGGGGTAATCCATTATTCGTTCCTTCGACCTGGGGAGACAATTACTGCCGAAAGTACTGCCAGTACATTGATAAGATGCACGATAAGTTAAAAATTGTACGCCCATCGCTTGTGAATCGGCATGGCCCGCTACTGCTCCATGTCAACGCTCGGCCGCATACATCGCACCAAACAATTGCGAAACTGAACGAACTGGAATATGAAGTTTTGCTGCATCCACCATATTCACCGGATCTCTCGCCGACCGATTTTCATTTTTTCAAGCATTTAGAGCTGTTTTTAAGGGAAAAACACTATGAAAAAGAAGGCAGTCTAAAAAACTCGATATCAGAGTTTATTAATTCTAAAGAACAAAATTTTTTTAAGACAGGCATTTACGCTTTAAAATCTCGTTGGGAGAAGTATATTGAAGCGAATGGAGCATACTTTGATTGAATAAACAGCTTTTGAAGAAAGATATGCAGTTTTATACAAACACTTAAGAATCCGACATTTCATACGCACCAACCTAATACTATTTTAGCCTTGAAACAAGTATCAGTTTTCTTTAATTGAATGATGATTACTAACTTAATATTTCATTTTAAAAATCTTAATACTCTGACTTACGATCCATTTTCGTTTCAATGAAGTGTTTAGATAACTGTGTGTAGGATGACTGTAATTTACTTAGTTTTATCTAAATTTGAGAAAAAAAATGACCTACATAAAAAACTATAAAAATCGATCCAGATTCCGATTCTGAACAAACTACTTTCAGGGTGTGCGTTAATACCAAAAGTTATGTAATTCTCATTCGAATTATGTAAAAAAAATAGGTCCATAATTTTTGACCAAATTTCCGTAAAAATAAATAAAGTGTGGACACGTTCCAAGTGTTCCAAGTGTGGACGCGTGCGGCGGCTAGCTGATACAACACCACGCCGCCGCACGCGTGTGTGTGTGGGTGTGTATACCTAATCTGTAGGGTGTTCACACGATGCGTAATTAATTACATAACTTTTTGTTAACTTTACTCAGAAGTTTATTAATATTTATGTTATATTAATTTTTATTTTGTCTTATATGATCGTCAAATATCACGTCCTCAAATATCGATAGTAATTCACCAGTCACCCTGTATATATATATATAAATATATACTTTGGACTTTTGGATATTTGCAATATAAGCAGTATCATTAGCGCTTTCCGCTACTCTCTTGATGAAGCCTATAACTGTTGTTATATTTATGAGTAATAATGAAATAAAACAATGAACTTGTGGCACACAATTTACTGCTTCAACGTAGACTGACTACTGTCACAAACATTATTTGACTACCTACTATCTGAATTTGTTACAAACGCTATAACTGTATTCCCTAAGGAGAATCTCATCAGGGAGTTTATTCCATAGCAACAGCATTCCCTAGAGCATCCTCTAAAACATTATAGTCTACTATTAGAGAGTTAAGTTGTGAAGATGGACTTTCTGTCAATGTCATCGGTGCAATTCGGTCTACCATAGGTAGAAAGTATGTAGCAAAGTGGTATCACGTCAAAGGGCTCCTTCGAAGATATCTCATTATACAGACTTTAGAACACGAAAAGGCACACAAGTCCTGAGAGAAAAATATAGTTAAGTACCGACGCCGAGCATGATATCTTTGACAATTCTAAGAGGTCGTTTTTAAAGGAGTTAAAAAGCATAACTTCCTGTGGGTCTGAATTCTCGATTTATACATCAATGATATTTCTCATCAGGTGGAGTATCGTTTTCATCTCTTCAGCTTATTAAGTTTCCAGGAATGCAACTTGCCACTTGGTCTTGTTAATTAAGTGAATTGAACGTCTCTGGAGATTACGTACTATGCCGAGGATCAAAATACTTTTGCAATCGGTGAGGGAAATTCACTGATTAAGTACTACGGTGAATGGGTTTTTTATTTGCGGTGAATGCACAATTAATCAGAACAAATTATCCCGACAGCAATCTGAGACCTTGGATACAGTTTTCTCGATTTCGAACTGTAATTGTTTGCTACTAT